CCAGGGGCTTAGGTGGAGAGCAAATGCTTTGAGAATGATGAGGGCAACGAATGTACAAATGTGCTTTACACAATTGATGTATGTATGGATTGTGATAAGAGTCGTATGAGCCCCTAATAAAGTGATTTTTTTTAAAAGGATTTAGAAGGCTACACAACTACAAGAAGAAAAAAAACACTGGAAGGAGACAGCCAACGAGTAAACAACAGTCCATTCTAGCTGGTTAGATTCTAAGCGGTTAGATTAGGGAGGGGTTTACAGCTGGGCTTCCCTAAGGGGCAGTTCTACTATGTCCTGCAGCAGCGGTTCTCGACCTTCCTAGTGATGCGACCCTGTCATGCAGTTCTCATGTTGTGGTGACCACCAACCATAAAATTATTTCTGTTGCTATTTCATAACTACACTTTTGCTACTGCTATGAAGCAAGCGATCCCTGTGAAAGGGTCGTTCAACCTCCAAAAGGGTGGCGACTCATAGGTTGAGAACCGTTGTCCTACAGGGTCACTATGAATCCAAACAGGCTTCACAGTGTGAAAATGGCACACGGGCCATGTCTGATCACCTCCCCTTTCAGTAGGGAAAGGACAATCCAACTCTACACCACCAGCCCAAGGCTGATTCCTAAGGAGGCGGAAATCAGACATGACTCCACCCTCCAACTTCTTCACCCTATTCTGACTTCCCTCCACCACGGTCTCTTTTCTGGTGGGTTTTATATTCCTTGCGAGGGCCACACACAGCTCACAGGCAATGCTCGCAATTATGTGATTTATTAGGAAATCAACAGGTTACATGTCAAGGGCAGAAACACTGAGGACACAGTTCTTTTGTCTACAGTGCCTCTTTTCAGCCATGCTGGCAGACATGTCTCTCTGGCCCTTGGCTTCTGCTCAAGAGTCACAAAGGTCTTCAGTGTTGCCAATGCCTGGAGGCCCTCTGCTGCACCCATTCGGTGGGCCGGGAAGCCCACAACTGCTCTGTGGGCACTGCTTCTGCCCACAAGGATCTCAGCTATGTCCCGCTTCTGGGTCATCCTTCTTGAAGGTCATCAGAGTCTCCCTTCCTGCTTCTGACACATCTCATTTTATATCCAACAAAATCACAAAACTGGCCCATCTTTTCATTAGAGTCCTCTACACCATTTGCATGTCCCCGCACAGTCATTTAGCAGCAGTTACAAAGACTATGGACAGCCATTACCAAGTAATTTCACTTTACTTCATTTCAGTTCAGGTAGCAATGGCTTTTGTACGTTTCATGGTATTCTAAGCAGTCTGCATTACTCTGTATTATTTTACAATCAGGGGAAAAAACCCCAAATGGTTTCCTTTCCCACAAGTAAATACAAATTGTTCTGATGTGCATATTTTCATTAGAAAGGCCCTCCTGTGGTGGCCTAAGTCCCTACTAGCTCATCTCTTTGCTTTGGTGTCTTATCCCCTGGGGCATTGCTTCACTCTCTAAGGTGGGCATTACATTATGCTGAGACGTGTGGGACCTTTGGCAAGACAAATTCCTGAGACAGAAGATTTGCATTTTTCTGTATTGCCCCAAATGAATGACGACAGCACTAAGCTGAAGCTCTTTCCATTCATTCTTTGCTGCTCCTCTGTCCGTCAGCACCCATTTTTCAGGGCCACGACCGCTGAAAATGAACCATGTGGGCTTGTTCTGGGTTGGAGAGAGCTTGCAAAATCATCCTGGCGTTTGTTCAAGGTACTTTTTGTTTTTATCATAACTTCGCTTTGTTTGCACACCTGCCGTCCCATCTCTTGCCGCCTGTGTGTGTTCAGCATACAACTGCACGTCTCATTCCATTCTTACCAGAATGCTTGCAATTAGGTCACGCCCATTTTACAGAGAGGTTTTAAAAATTGACTTATTGATAAGTAGTGGTAGAGGGGGAATGAAAACCTGTCTCAAAGTTCAGATTTCCAATTTTTCTTCATCTTTAACAACACAATGGTAACCTTGACAGAATGCTTCACTTCTTTTTGTAAAGGCTACAAAGTGCTTTTCTCTGGAGGTCCTAGATCTAAACATTGGATTCCGAGTCAGGGAGCCCGAGCATGGAATGAGAATTCCTATTTTTCACAGAAGGAAACGAAGAAGTTAAGTAATATGCCCAAGGTCACAGAACCAGAAATGCGTAACAGGTTATTTTTTCCCTAAAGCCCAGAATGCTTTCTTGCATCACACGGGTTTTCTAAGACAAAGTTTCTTCCGTAACGACGCCTTCAGGAGTTAACAATCACACCCTGCCGGGAGGACAGCACCTGCCCACCTGCAGTGTGCCCGCTCCTCTTGCACGGAGCGGTGAGAGAAGGCGGTAACAGGAGGCAGGGCTGGTTGACACAGTGAACGAGAGGCAGAGCTAGCGATGAGCCCTGAGCGCACAGCAGGGGTGACACTGGCAGTGGGAAAGGAAGCCAGGGTGCATGAAGCCTTAGCAGAGGAGGGAAGCAAGAATGGCCTTGTGTGGAAGGGCTGGGAATCCAGAAATCATGAAATAGCTGGGCGAGCTCAGGGAGCAATGAAACACAGGGGAGCCTCTGTTTCTGCCCCAAAGCACCAGAAGCTCATGAGATAATGCAGGCGAGTCTTCTGCTTCAACAAACCGGAGAGATGACTTTAGCCGGATAGGTTGGGTACCAAACCCACTGCTATCAAGTTGATTCCAACTCATAGCGACGCTATAGAAGACCATCAATATTGATGGGCGTGGATAGCAACATCCCCTCACCTACAGACTTTCTAAGGGGTCCGCGTTAGTTAGGTAAGAAGGACTTGACATTCTAGGATGCGGGGACATCCAGAAGCTGGGAATATCAGGATGTAGGGTCATGCGGGAAGGGCTAGCGTCCTGTATTAGAGTGAGAGCTCATTGGAGAGTTGTCCTCAGCCCTTGTCACATTCCCTGCATCCCTGTCCCTTTTGAGCCCGTCTCCGAGCCTGCACATGACTCATGTCCCACCACAACCTTGAGCTGCCTCTCGCTTTGGCCTCTCTGACCTTGCCCGGGCGGAGCCCTGTGAGGACTGCTGATGTGGCACTCTGCCTGGGCCACAGCCTCCCAGTGACTTGCAGGCTTCCCGTGCTGCTGGGGCTCCTGGTAATCCGACACGGCAAGGGCATATACGACAGTCTTGGAGCAGAGCAAACTCAGAGGTAATGCGGATACCCAAAGGTCGAGGTGACTGTCAGTCGATTACTATTTGTGATTTTTTTTTTAATATGGGACATATTAATTCTTGAAAAAAAAGAAAAAGTTCGTTTTGGTCCTGGTGATATATCATGTCAGAAAGTTCAAACACAAGTGAAAGACACGTTTCCCTTTCCAAAAGGCGGTGGCGGCTGCGGCGGCCTGCCGTGGAGTCAGTCTGACTCCCGGTGGCCCATGCTCCGCAGAAGGAGGCGGTACCAGCCCTGTTCCTCCCCTGACTGGTCACAGACCAGACTGGTGACCCACAGGGTTTTCATGGGTTGCTGTTTCAGAAGTGGATCACCAGACCTTTCTTCCTAGTCTACCTTGGCCTCACAGGTCCGCGGGAACCCGCTCGGCGTCACAGCAACAGGCAAGCTCCCAATAGCAGACGGGCGAAGGCTGTGCCTGACAGACACTGGCTGGACATCGCGTGCAGTGAGCCTGCGTGGGAGGCAAGACTTTTCCCACTGTCCCACAGGTGCCCAGCGACAGAAGGCTATGTATGGGCTGCATAAACAACATGGAGTGGGTCTGGCCCCCGTTGGCAGTGGCAGTGAGTCTCCGCTGGACAGCTCTAGAGCAGTCATCACATTTGATATGTAAGAGGCCAAGGAAGAAACAGGGCACCTTCAAGGAAGGCAGCTTCCTTCAAGGAAGACAGTTCAACTCGCCTGTTTTAGATACGAGAAC